CCAATTAGGAAATTCAACACTCTTATCCTATAGAGGAGGTATTACTGTTCAACGCATGAATTAGATTTCACTTCTAACTCGGGGAGCGATATTCCTTTGTGCCGCGTGAAATAAATACCTCTATCAGAGCATCGGTAACTGTATAGGGGCACTAAATTTAGATCCGTGCAAGGAGGGATAAGACCAATCTGTAGCTCCTGGAATTGTTAGTGATAGTGAAGCTCCTCGCATGTATTCTATGGCCGTGCTGTATTTTAGTTTATGAGTGGCCTACTGACCTACGGTAACTCGGTAGAGCCGCCGCTATTCCAATGGCGGGGGTTAGGAGGCTGTGGTAATAGCATAGAACCAGGACTATATCAGCACCCCTCAAGAAGGCAGAACTCTTTCCTAGCTTAATGATGCTTGAGCGGCATCCCTATCCACACATTAACTTTCTACGACACAGGACTGGCACAGTGGAAGCGATATTGTTTAGTTCAAGAAATGAATAAACGGGTTGTTTCCTACGAGGTGTGGCCAGGGAGTACAAACTAACGCCTGCCATCTCCTTTGTTTTTCTATTGCGGGACTTGGCACTCATATCACTGAAGCCGGGTTTCGTATTCGGACATAGTTCTAGATGTTTAAAATACCGCATACAATGGGGATGGCGTTCGGGCCTAACTTGGTTCCATCTGCCGGTCTATGTTAACCTCCTGTTGCCCTTGTATCATCGGTGGGGTGGAGCCATAACAGGTCCAGCCAATCATTGCCGTGCGGGGGCGGCGAATCGATAGCAAGCACATTCTACCCCATGCCAGGAAATCCGTGATCCCTCTTTTGTGGAGGATCAAGATGATCTATACAAGCCATTTCAAGAAACCATCCTCCATAAATGTTTGATGGGTAGGAAGGACCCAGGAGAGCGGGGAATCTGCACATATGGGAGGCATTTCGTCTCTTTATTTCCCCTCAGGTTCTTATTGGGAACTGCAGTTACTGCTCTTCGGGAGTACCCCAACTCACGCAGGACGCGGAGCCATCCAGATTATCACCCGCTTGGCTTTCCTGCTTGTGTATAGAATGAAGTTTAGCTATGAGGTGACGGATAGAAAGACATTTGACAAATAAGGTAAAAGAATGGCCAATTGAACAGGCTGGGTAATAGATATGGGAGAAGCCTCCTCCCATCATGACGCCCGAACAATGTCGGATTGACTGGTTACTAAACTGGGCACCCACAGGCTATCTTCGCCTAATAGTATTGTTGAGAGGCGAGGCTATCAAAACGCCAATTTTTAGAAAGATGCCACTTTAAATACAATGTCAGTCTTGGGCTAAAACCCCCAAATATCCGGAAACGATATATTTGACTTGGCCCGGTACTTGGCGATGTCTTTCGAGCTGCACGACCATGTTCCCCAGCGAAATGCTCGTCCTAGGTGCCCGAGAGTACCAATACGGTGTTAGCACTCTAGTCCACATCCTCGGTTCTTAAATGCGCATTGCCGCTTCGTGGCCTCCCATTAAGAGAAGGGTCCGGAGGGGTCACCCGTACCAAATTGGTGTGTCCCTAACAACTCGTTTGTACAGTGCCCGACCCGGGCCATCCCGGCGATTCAACTAATAAGCTCAATTACTCCTCAGGCCCGTGGGCCAGGTTGTAGCTCAACTCAGCTCAAAATGCAAGTGTTAGAGTCCAGTACTGTACTCGAGGCTAATACTTGTAGCGCCGGCACTAGAGGGAATATTTAAGGGAGTGTCTGGTTCCCACCCCTAAACCCTCATTTTTGCCACGATCGTAGATGCTTGTGGTAGAATATCATACTATTTTTCTTTGGGGCGGTATACCTGGTTGGGATTAAAGCGTGATATTGAAACGTGATACTAGTGATTAGGTTAAAGGAACATGGTCAGACGGAGGATCCGGGGGAAATCTTCTAGAATATGTTTCCCCGCCCTGCGGTGACGGGGGGTCCTAACTCAACCGCCGGTGCCGCGTAGATGACAGCGTAGGGGGGGAATCTTGAAATAAACTCCGAGGCTTGAAATGCTCCGCACGGGTCCGTCAACGAGTCTTCTCTCGCCAACTTATTTGTTCTGGCTCAGACTTTACCGTTGGGGTCTATGGTAGCCCGCGATTGGATAGGAAGCCGTGCTGTATGCGAGCCCGTTAAGTGGTGATGCATAAAAGAACTTACGTTAAAATTTCAATTTTGACAGTTTTCTATGGGCGACTGGGCAGGCCGCATGTTTCTTTATTTTTAGTCTAGACTAGGCTATTGGCTTGCCCTTATCGGCATTGTGGTTTCTCGTTGCAACCCGCGTATTGTCGTGTCAGGGTTTGAGCATTTGAGCAGCCAATAAGTTAACCAACCCTGGCATGATTGGTAGCTAGACCTGCCCGGAGTTCCCACTAGTTACATTACCTCTCCTCTCGATCGGCGGCAACGCTGTCTGATTGGCGGCAACAAGCCGTGACTAAGCATGGAGGCCTAAAGAACCAAGAACCAGTTTTGCCAGTAACGACAGCACCTCGCCAGCGCATTCTATACACGTACCGACCACATTATTATAAAACCTTCTACGGTACCCTGAGGCTTCGTATCGCAAGGCAGAGGAAACACAAGAAAGATTTGAAGAGGAAAAAATGGTCTTCCCACAATCAGATCTCGAGATAATCGAGCAGAACCCCTTGGAGGATTTCCGCGCCACTTATCGTCAATTCTTCCACCAGAGGACGGGCCTCGCCGTTGAGGCAGCCCTGGAAGAGCCAGAGATTTTGCGGCTAATTCTTGAGGATGCGGCTACAGACGAAAGTAGGTTAAGTATAAATTTAAAGATAGATCGGGATTTGAGGGTTTTATCCCGGAATCACTAATCAGGCCCCCCCCCCCACTCCAGATGCCCGTGAGCTCTTCCATGTCTTCCTCCTCCAAATCTCTCTCACCGATGCCAGCGGACAACTGCGACACCCCATTGGTTCCGATACTATTGTCCGAACGCGGATACTGCTCTTTGCAGGCGAATGGCCGAACCAGCTTGGCCTCGATGGCGACGCACTGGGTCTTTGCGCGGCTGGGTTACGCAGTGCTCTCTCCCTAGAGACCGACGTTCCGGACGAGGATGTCTGGTCATCCGTGTACCGCCTTTTGACCACTTTCCCGGCGTCGGATTCCCCCGAGGCGACAGCGAACGTCGCTACCATGGTGAAAGATTACCTGACCAGATACGCTAGGGAGCATCCATACCTGCTCGCTTTGAATATCGGGTTATCGCTCGTGGGTTTTGCGGTGCCTCCGCTCTTGGGAGCTTTGGGATTTACAGGTGCTGGAGTTAGTGCTGGTCTGTGTGCCCTGAGATATGGCCGTATTTTTTCTGGGGAAGAAGTCACATTTACTAACTTTCATGGGGAGTGCAGGTAGTGCAGCCGCGGCGTGGCAGTCCGGTTTTATGGGATTTGTCCCGAAGGGAAGCTTGTTCGCCGCTTGTCAAAGCATCGGGGCGACAGGAGCAGCGCCTTTAGCCACAGCAGCTGGCTGGGTTGCTAGTTCGGCTGTTGCTGGGACTGCGGTGGCGTTGGATGCTATAAGGGGGAATAGGGGAGCTGCAGAGGGTGATTCTGAAAATGAGGAGGGGGAGTAATTGTGATGCGTTTTGTTTTTAAACTCGTTCTCTTTCCGCGGTGTCTGGTTGGGCTATCATACGTGCCAGGTTTGATGTAACTAGGGCTACTACTTTGGCCGGGTCTCTTTATGAAGTGTTATCTTGAGATGGCTCCAATCTAATCTTTCTGACTTAGCGTTGGGAGCGAACTGACATGACACCGATCGTGTCATACAGCCTCCGTTCAAGAAAATCGGGAAATCTAGAGATAATAGTTTAGGACTCATTTAATATGCGGACAGATAGCATTCTATTAAATCTGGGGATGATTCAGGATCCAAGTTTCGACTAAACCAACCAACCGAAACAGGGGAGTAGATCCACTCCGAAAACTCCGAGAGAAGCCACCACACGTACGACACTCCTATTTTACTATGCCCCCAAAGGATGAACAGAACTGCCACTGCAAGTACGGCACAGGCAAAAAAAAACACCCCCCAACCCCAACCTAGCCTATTCATATAGACTACCGCCCTTGAGTGCTATATTCCCCATATAGGTAACCCAGTTTCACTGCTCTCTCTTCAATTGATTTATGAGCCGTCACAAAGAATCACCCGCTCAGGTTTCTGGTTGTAATTTCTGTAAGGAATGGAACGAACCAGATGGAATGGAATGGAGAGGATGTTGTGAGATGGCTAGCATGAGCAGATCGAGTGGTTGGAACAAATATTTATAAGGCAATCATATATTCTATAACTTGTACGTTTTGATAAGTAATTACAACTTACTATTCTGAATATTATTTATTTCTTTTGACCTTTATTTGTTTTTTTACTTCAGCAGTGTTAGACGTGGGCGAGTGGTTACGCTCTACAGCTATGGTTAGGTATTGTTTACGTGGACTATTACATACTCTAGCATTGGAAAGGTTCCCTTCCATTCGTTTCCTTCTTTCCTTCTTTCCTCCATTTCTACATTCATTATCCACCACCTTCTCCCCTATACACAAGTTCCTCTGTCTGTGCATATATATCTTTATCCTACATCTCCTCCCTCTTCGCTAGACCACATTCTGTGAAATCCGCATTCCGGTCATTTCCCATTCGCCCATATTTCAATCCCACAACGCTATAAAGTGCTATACGATATAGTACGGTACACTGGGGGTGTTGCGACTTATCGAAGTTTATCAGACGTCATTAGCTAGGCCAAAGCAAAAAAAAAAAAAAGGAAAGGAAAAATATTTTAAATTTAAATGGAGGCGCAAGAAGGGGGGTTTTTGCACACGGTGTACGGGGATGGAGAGGAAAACCCAGGTTGAGATTTTAAGTACACAATTAGTTTAACCCCCAGCATTCCCAATAAGAATATCGTGGATTCAATCTGGTTCCTCCTCAGGAACATCCTCCTGCCAGCTATTCTCCTCAATACCAGTTTCCTAACCATCCCCTGGAGGATGCGAGTCTACAACCTGTTTATCAGGAGGAAACTTAATTTGGCACCCCCACACAACACTAACTCCTATATTAGAGCGTGCCACTACCCGCCACCAGGTACGTGGTACAACACGCCCTTTACAGGTACCATACACTCCGTTGTAGTTTAGGGTGCGGTATTAATTGTTTACAAACGATAACGTACTGTATCCTTCGAATAGTAATCTCCCAGGTCATGGCAAAGTTCTACAGCACGGTCGGGGGGATTATGTGGGTTCGTGGCGCCCGACCTAAGGATGGGACAGAATCCCCGCAAAGGGAAGAAAGGAAAACTTGGTGCGAACAAAGAGACTGGGAGGGGATGGAATATCCCCACTCGCTCCGAAATTGATATTCTACAGCGCTGTGAGGAGCTAGATGGCTTTTTGGAAGCTAGGGTAGGATAATGTATAAACTCAGAAACCCGCTCCGCACCTCGAGGTGCTGACAGGGATATCGGACATCTGAGACACGCACTAGGCATCAAATGAAGTGGGGGTTTCAACAGCGACTGTCGTGCCCTGCTTAAAGAAGCAATTCTTGAAATGTATTCAGGGGACCAAGCTGAGTGTAGACAGACTTGAGAAAATAGACAGCACGAGCCAAATATTTCTCTCCAAAACCATACCCTACCCAAGTCATCAGGCTAGAGTTGTTGGCACAAGGTAACGAGTTGTGGCTGTCAGCAGAGCCTTCAAGAATATCGGACGTGGCTTCTCTTGTTCCGGGATAATTTCCGCGATTCACGGAGAAGTTTCTCGATAGATGTCTTTCCTGTTATCACAGGTGTTTGTGGAGTAATGGGGATATGCACGGAGGGTGTGGGAGACGCGTGATGATCCATGGAAGGATCAGGATGCTCTAATTATGTTTTACTTATGCTCCTGTCTTTACCATTAATCTAGATCAACCCCGAACGAGAGAACCAAGCCCTTGGCGACAGTGCTCCCGGCCGTCCGGGGCGGTAAAAGTGCAGGACGGACGTCTTTGGGTAGGACGGCAGGCCCTACCGGGTGAAACAATGATGGTCCAGGTGACTGTGGGTGACCGCCCGGGGCCCGCCCGGGGCCGCCGGGGTCTACCGGGGACTATTACGGATGGAGGGGAGGCTACCGGGGACTGCGGAACTGCGGCCAACAACACATTATCCCGCAAACAACCTCAGATATGGTTGAAACATTGGAGCTGACAAGTCCTTTTGTTCATAGGATTTCAGGTTGTAAGACGGCTGGGAACACTGCCTGGAGATACCTTTTCCACAACATCTCCATACCAATCATGTCCTATACTATCCGCCGTGCAATTCAACCTCTCTAGCAACCTCCAGGGGATCCGCATCTAAGACCATCCATGAAAGGATTCGACTGCAAATCGAGTTTTCCAGGTTTATAAGGAACTTACAGAATGGGAATTCATTTCACAGTTGAAAGAGGTGTTACTGTACCGATTATTCTCAATGAGCAAGACCAACGAGTGCAGAGAAGCTCCACAACCCACCTAACAACCTGCTTTTTCGTGGCTTTCGCAAGGGCCAAAAATACCCAAACTTTAAATACCAGTCTAATCTAAGCGACCCCCAGATGTATCCCTCAGAAGACAGGAAAGGGAAGAAATAACAGCAGAAAAAAATAAACAAGCATATTTACAAAGAGGGTTTACGGGTACTGTACAACGAGGAAGCAAGAACGAAAAAAGTAAATATGATGGAAATTGCAAACCGGACTGGATAGTCTCAATGCAGTAGAAATGGCTCTCGGTCAACGCCAAACTCCGGAGAATACACAGAAACCAACAACTCCCGACTCGATTCCATGAGAAACCTTGTATAAGGGGTTGGGTGTGTACAGTACGTGATAGACATGTGCACTCCCATCATGCGATTTCCCCGACCAAAAGGCATCTAAGCTAAGTTTCTATCATAGGCTTACCCCGGAAGGAAAGGGAAAACGACAACTACCACAGGGCGGTATTTGGCCAGCGGCAGGAGGTTGGGCGGGAACGAGCTAAGGGAAGCGATAGGGGGATAGCCATGTTTACAGACCCGTTGTGGCTCTTGTAGAAACACCACAAAGGCAGCAGTGAGGGCGATGCCTGCTCAGTCTTAGGTCGCGGTGAGAGCGGCAGATTGTGGGGGCTGTAGTAATGTCCTCACTATTGAAATGTACGGCTTCCCATTACGAGCCGTGTGCGTGTCAACCATGTAACACTCATGTGATCATGTTAAGATACTATCGTCTCCTCGTAGTTTCTTAAGATTTCCTTGGTATGGGGCAAAGTTGGTGTAATGATAACGAGTATATAAAGGGTTATCTTTTCCCTCATGTTAGTCAGAGTGCACAAGCTTGGATTAATCTTTAAGTCGTAACTATATCTACACATACACAACACCATCACAAAGGCAAGTGACTTAGATACAAATACTTTCACTCATGCATGGCCACTCTGAGAAGCATGCCAAAGTGGTATTCGGTCATTGTTATCCGGTTCGCCAGGGCTAACGTCATCCCGTCGTGGGAATATCTCCACCACTCCCTCATGTCCATTCTAAGTAGATCAACAGAGTGGTGTTTTGGCCATACTTATTTCTTTCATCCGGCCTGACCTCACCCTGTCCAAGCAGCGTTCTTACTGCTTCCACATGTCCATACCCAGCAGCCCGCAAGTGACGCCCCCAGTCGTTTTCTGATTTGCCAGATTTGTCGTCATACTCTTCGAGTAGCATTTCCACCCCTTCCGTGTACCCATTGTCAGCTACCGTCCAGAGCAGTGTCCGGCTCAGTTTGTCCGGTGTGTGGGGGTCGACGTCGCCCCGTCCAAGTAGTATTTTTACAACTCCCTCATGCCCATACTCAGGAGCACAGGAGAGTGGTGTCCGGCCGTCGCTATCTGGTTTGTCAAGGCTAACGTCGTCCCGTCCAAGAAGTATCCCTACCACTCCCTCACGTCCACCCCGAGCCGCAAACAGGGGTGGTATTTGGCCGTAGTTATCGCGCTTATTGGGATTGACCTCGCCCCGTGCCAGCAGTATTTTCACCACTCCCTCATGCCCATTCCATGCAGCACAATTGAGCGGTGTTTGGCCATACTCACCCGGTTTGTTGGAGTTAACGTCGCCCCGCCCGAGTAGTATCTCCACCGTTGCCTGGCGTCCATTCCAGGCAGCACAGGAGAGCGGTGTTCGGCCGTACTTATCTGATCTGCCAGGATTGACACCGTCCCGTCCGAGCAGTATTTTCACTGTTCCCTCGTTCCCATGCTCAGCGGCAAAGAAGAGAGGCGTTCGGCCATCGTTATCTGATTTGTCAGGATTCACCTCACCCCGGCCAAGTAGTATCATGACCACTCCCTCATGTCCGTTCAAAGCAGCACAAGAGAGTGGTGTTCTGCCGTACTTACCTAATTCATCGGGGTAGACCTCATCCCTACCGAGTAGTATTTTCACCGTCCCCTCATTCCCATGGCCAGCGGTAAAAAAGAGTGGTATTTTTTTATCATTATCTGGTTTGTTGGGATTGACCCCGCCCCGGCCGAGTAGTGCTTTCACGACTCTTTCGTGCCCATACCCAGAAGCCCACCAGAGTGGTGTTCGGCCCTTGTTATCCTGTTTGTCAGGGCCGACGTCGTCCCGTTCGAGCAGCACTTTCACCACCCCCTCACGCCCATTCGAAGCAGCACAACAGAGTAGTGTACGACCGTAGTTATCTGGTTAGTCGGGGTTGACGTCATCCTGTCAGAGAAAAATGTTCACCACTCCCTCGTGGCCAGCTGCGGCAGCACAACCGAGCGGTGTTCGGCCGTGCTTATCTGGTTCGTCGGGATTGATGCCACCCCGTCCGAGAAGCATTTCTACCACTCCCTCGTGGCCGTTGAAAGCGGCCCATACTAGAGGTGTATTTCCCACGCAGTCTTCCTGGTTGATATCACAATACCCCACCCTACCAAACCGGCTACAATCTCAACAATCCCAAAGAAGGATCCACAGTGCAGACAGCCGAACAGAGCAAGCTTATCGAATTCAACAGTGTGCAAATAAGATTTCTGTGCTTCCAAGAGAACCCTAATAGATATGTGGTTCTCATACTCGTCAAATAACTTCAGCGCAAGAAGCTTCGGGCAATCTGAAAGGTCTCTTTTTGCGTGGACCCCCAATAGAGGGAAGAGTACTCAATAAGGGGTGTGCTTTGGGGATCGGGAGAGAGTCTGGACGAAAGAGCCTTGACCTGTTGGGAATTCAGGTAGCTTAAGTAGGTTTCTGCTATCGCCGAGTGAGATGAACCGAAAAGCTCCGGATGAGCCCGGAGGTACTCTTGAAGGGCAAAGTAGATTAGCCGGACCGTTGAAACTTCCTTATCTACGGAAACAAGTCCTTGACAACAGGCTAGCAATGGCCCTATTGAAGGAACATTGTCTGCATCGAGATTCGGCGACCTTATTTCCACTGATAGCCCATGGAACAGGTCACCCGGCCCCAAGGGGCCCCTCTGAGTAAGATATCCGCATCAATTCGGCCATGCCAAGCTCCAATTTCTCCCCACCCTGTTCCTTGACCTGACCTATCGATGCACCATAAACATCCGCCAACCCCAAGCCATCGGTAATTACGCTGAGCCTCTGTCGCCCGCGACTGATCGTAATCGCTCGAAGAGTCGCATCAATATTGAGTGAAACCAGCAGGAATCTAGATATGGATCCGCCAGCGAATAGCTCGACACACTTCCCCAATGTTGCCGCTCCTACCCACACTTTGGAAACACTTTCTGTTATTTTCCCCATGATATCTGCCTCCAGATTACTGTCTCGTCTAGCCAGGTGCGGAGATACCTAATAATATCATCTCCCTTGTTACTTATGGATACACTTGTCACCATTCCAGCAAGACGCCTTCCGATTTCAGGTTGAATGTAAGGTCCTCCGCTCACGAAAATTCGTGAGCCCGGTGACTTTTGGAGAATTTGGCTGAGTGAATCAAGAAGCTTGACTCGATGTCTTTCTGCACATTCATCAAGAACGCCGATGCAAATGAATGTGCGCTTTTTAGAAAAGGTTGTTTGTAGCATCTTGACAATATTAGGAATATTCAGCCCCCCCCCCCCCATCGATGGCGTTTCTCCGGTCTTAGTATGCCTGCGATATGACCTCCGGAGTCTTCTTCAGCCCGCTAACCAACTGCCTCAGCATGGCACGCAGCATGCGCGCGGAGGCCTGCTCCTCCTTCTGGATCGCAAAGTCAAAATAAAAACATGCAACCGCGGCATTCTGTCCTCTAGCCCGATCACACAAGCTGGCTATTACTAACGAGCTAGCATTGCGGCTCGTCAGCACTTGCCCTCTCACCTCCATTCCGCGCAGTTCACCCTTATTACCCAAGGAAAGTCTTGCAAACCCCCTGATATCTATGGCAAAACCAAACTGCAGACTCACATCTCCCACCACCCGCATCCCTGTTTCTGAATCCTTCAGTTTGTAACAGCCATCCCCCTATATTTTCGGCCCGGCGGTCTCGAATGTCCTGATGCCGTAACTTGGGATCTAGTGGGGACAGCTAGGCCAATATATTAGGTCGGTCATCGGGAACAGTGATGTTATTTGACACGTTGATCGTGTTCATAGATGTCGTGTTGTTACAGAGATATCTTGACATTTGCTGCGCGTTTCTGCTTAGCCTATTGTCGATGATGGATGATGGAGTCAGTCGGTAGCTAGAATTCCAGAGGGCTGAAGAAGAAAAGCGGGGTCATTTGTGGGACCTCACAGATGCCTCTGGACTGTCCAATCAATCTCTGCCAGGTTTGTACCAACACCCTGCTTGCACCTACCGCATCGGTAGCAGGAACCTCACACCTCTTTAAGCACTCTCCCGTAGTACCGGAACAGTGCATTGGAACGTAAACTTGCGCCGTTAAAGAACCCCCCGAGGGCTCGTGGCAGAACCAGTCGAAAATTTTATGTTTCACCTAACTTCAAGCATCACATCATGCCAGTAGGGCAGTGCCTTGTGGTGTCAATACATGTCCGAAACGCCCACCCAAACCGCATATCAATTTCTGTGAAGATAGGGGGTATCCATCCCGACATCCTTTGAGACGGCCAATTCTATAATAGTATTCACACAGCCCCGCCCCGCGCCATGTCACGGCAGATCGCTACATCCCCATAAGCTTCCCCATATTTCTAATGACCGCGGACCAAGTTTGCCGAGCCGAATACCGCTCGACATCAAACCTAAGCAGTAATTCAAAAGAGCCGTCAAATACACCATGAATAGACATATCTTAGAACCGGGGACAATCCAGGACCCAAGATGTAGATACCGCTAAACGGACTAACCGAGACAGCAGAATAAATCTCCCGTGAGTAATCCCGAAAGAAATCACCATATTGACGACACCCCTAATATAGACCTCAAAACCTAAACAGCGATGATTTAATACAGCACGGGTAAGGAAAAACTTAACTCCGGTCCAGTGTGCTCATACTCGCCACTCCACCTAAGGTCTAACTTATTACCTCCCAGCCCGTAATCAGCTTCTTTTGCGAACCCTCCACAGATCAGATCGTCACTCGCCCATCATGACCTTGCTCGAAAATTTGACATGTATTCGCGACACCCGAATGACAAGGCACATCAAGGGCGAAGCCTCTTGGCGCCAAGGTGTTCGGGTGTCTAAAATTCCCGTGCAGTGCTCAAATTTTAGGACTCTATAGTGCATGATACGATGCAATACAGTTCAATACAGCACAGTAACCTGCTCCAAACTCACCAGACGCCATCAGCCATGCCAGTATATTAAAGATTAAAAAAAAAATTAAAAAACACCTTAAATCCCACATACCGGTACTCGTTAGGAAGTCCAAAATTCCATCTCTTGGATAGGGGGGGGGCCAAAGCACCACAGAAACTGACCCCCCGTGCCCCCTCAGCCCCAGCTTACGAGAAGGAAAAAGTAAACAAGAGTGCTGCACCCTACCAGCAAAAGGCAAGTTCCACGTCCTCGCGCGAGGTCCAATTACCGGTATTCCAGTAAATATCACACGGTACAGAGGAAAAAGAAACCCCGATTCAGGCTCTCAAATCGACAGTTAACCCCAGAATCGCTTACGGTGTAAGAATAGCCCCGGACCCTACCCGTCCCGTCCCTCCCCACACAAACTACCGTAGCAATCCTCCCCAGCCGCCGCCACCACCACACCAAACCCTCGGCCCCCCAAGTCCTCTACGAGTACGGTATCCAACCATCCTCTTACCCTCCGCAGTTTGGCGATCCCCATAACCCGCTCCTCACAAGGAAACTTGGCTTGATCTGTGCGGACCCTGTGCAGCGCGAACCACAAAATTACTCTGCATTAAATTTTACGGTGCGAGATACAATCTTGAAGTGTAGTGTTGTACCTACGGTGCGAGTACCATACCTTACAACCATAATTTACGATGCGGTGTCCCTTCTCCGCAATACGGTAGTCTAAGGAAGAACGGTAATACCGGTATAGCACTGTGGGAGATTCCCGCGGTAAGGTGCTGGAGGGAGCGTTCTTCCTGGTTGGTACTCAGTAACTACGGCGGAGTACTGTACTCGTGCAGTGAAATGTATAAATAGAGGACAGAGACCTATCTCAAGTATTGGCCGCGTCACTAAAGCTGCCAACGCAATCTATCGTAAGGCACAAGTACCCGTAGGCTATTTACGTGCCTCATAGTACGGTATCATTTAAGCACTTCACTCTTACTCGTCGGCGTTGGCCTGGCTCTCAAGTGAGAAGGTTGGATACGGTATGCGCATTAGTCAGGTGCATACCGGTCCGACACACCCCCAACGCCCAGTACGCCACCCGGCGGCGAGCCCTCCCAAAAGGGAGAGATGCAAGACACAAATCATCTTCGCCTGTCTGACCTTCGTAAATGGCGTATGTAAGCGAGGACAAGATAGACTACAAAAGTATTGAGCATCGTAACGAACTAAAAGTCTTTTGCTCCTTCCGTACGGGAAGCCCTGTCTGGGATATAGACGATATTACTTCACCGCCATGTATAGAATTTATTATTCCCGCAACGGGGAAATCGGGAACTAAATGACTACTGACAACTAAACAATGGTTCAGACCACCATCACAATTACATCCGCGAATGCAACAAACGGGGACAACCTCAAGCAATGGTAGAAATCACCCGGCCCACCTCCCTCTCGAGGATGCCACCAACCACAATCTTTCCTCCAGCCTTCATGTGGACAGTCGGGGCGGCGATGGCGCTGCCGCCAGAAATACCGAGTTGTTCATCGGACCAGATGTTTTGCAGTTTCATGCCGTCAATACCAACGCCGCAAAGGCCACCTTCGGCTCTCCAATCACTGGTACGCTTGATGTTAAGAGCGTTCCAGACCGACTCCAGAGCGCTAACGAGATGATCACGATAGTTCCGAGTGTGGCCAGGAGTCGGGGTGATACGGAGACGCTCCTGGCCAACCGGGACGGTAGGGTAGTTGATGGCTTGAACGTAGATGCCGTGGTCCTCCAAGAGGGAGTCGCTAGCAGCTCTAGCAATTTCCGCGTCGCCGACGAGGATGGGGACAATGTGGGAGGGATTAGGGATTACGGGTATGTTTCTAGCTTCCAAAGAATCTTTAACGGCGCGGGTGTGGAGCTGTTGGAGAATGCGGTCGCCATCGTATTTGGCCTGATATTCAATCGCGGTCCTTGCACCAGCCATGGTTGCTGGAGGAAGAGAAGTGGTGAATATGAAACCGGGGGCAAGGGAGCGAATAGCGTCAACCAACTTTGCCGAGCCGGCAATGTATCCACCAACGCAACCATATGCCTTTCCGAGGGTGCCAGTGATAATATCGATGCGGTCCATGACAGTCCCCTTTGGCTTTCCAGCACGGTGAGCCTCGAAATCAAGATGCTCTGCAACACCAGCACCATGTGGCCCATACATTCCAACGGCATGGACTTCATCCAGAAAGGTAATGGCACCATACTTCTCAGCCAGGTCACAAATCTCCTCAATCGGCCCAACAGATCCACACATGGAGTATATGGATTCAAAAGCAATAATTTTTGGAACATGTGAGGGAAGGGATGCGAGTTTAGTCTCAAGATCGACAAGATCATTGTGTTTGAAGACAATCTTTTTGGCGCCAGAGTGACGGATTCCTTGGATCATTGATGCGTGATTAAGGGAATCCGACAGAATCACGCAGTTAGGGAGTTTTGATCCAAGAGTTGCTAAAGTCGCATCGTTCGCCACATAGCAAGACGAAAAAACAAGGGCTGCCGGCTTGGCGTGAAGTTTGGCGACGCTCGCTTCAAGAGCAATGGCGTGTTGATTATGACCCGATATATTTCTAGTTCCACCAGCTCCGGCACCGTATATATCAAGAGTCTCGTGCATTGACTTAATAACCTCGGAATTGCGCCCCATACCCAACTTCAAACATGGTGAGTAAAAGACCATGGAGAAAACAGCAATCAGGGATGACCTACGTAGTCATTGGAGCACCAAGCAGTGACAAGTTTATCGGGGGTCCCCAAATGGGCCTGAGGAAAATGCTTTGCCAAACGGTTGATGTTGTTGAAATAACGGTAGCTCTTGTCCTTATGCTTCTTCTCGAGTTCCGCACCGTAGAAAGCCTCGTAATCAAATTTCCCGGAATGGTGAGCCGCAGGGACCACATTTACCGGACGCGTAACACGAGCAGTCGCCCGCGGAGCCATGCCCTCTGCCATCTTAGCAGCCCTCAACGCCGCAGCTCCATGAGGGCAAATCCCTGAGACCAGAATAAATCCCGTCAGCTTTTCAAAATTCAAGATTCATAATATAGTACCGGCTCTTGCTCGGCAACCGTACCCTTAGAAGTGTCATAAACGCCGGCCCGGATATGGAGAGACTCGACACTAGCGGCATCCGCAGCATTAGGAACAGACGCCTGGATACTGGCAGGCTTGCTAGGAACAACGTAAGATCTCTTCTGGCCAGCCGACGAGCCACGCGCGCGAGCCAATCCTGACGGCTTCAACCCGAGGGAGGAAGAGGAGAATGCGGAGTTGCGAACCGACTGGACAGCAAGTGCCTTTGACATTACCGGACACCGACGGGCGACAATCTGAAGGTTTGACATCGTTCCACCACCACCAACTGCATTGACACTCGAGCTAGTAGACAGCGCACGAAGAGTAGACGGCGAAGTCCTCTTGAGGAAGGGACAGAGCTTCCGGGATTGGTTGAGGAGAGACTCCATTGTTGCTAATTAGCGTTCCGTAAGTTTGTCGAGACTGCTTGGCTGAGTTTTATTTTTTTTCCAACTTTTTTTTATTTTTTTATTTTTATTTCTTGCTTTCTTCCTTCCGGCCGCGATTGGAAGAGGGGAACACAAGAAGAAATATAGAGCGGTGGGGGATGGTTTTCTATCCCTTCACTCGAGAGAAGAATAGTGTATGAGGGGAGGAGAGAGATGACGAGAAAAAGGTGTTGTGCGGGCTCCACTCGGCTTTTAAAAGAGGTTGTCGGGAGAGAAACAGAAAGGGCATGGGTCAAAGGGGTAAAGTGAGGTGATGAATGAAGGCAGGAATCACAAATACGGTGCCTGTATCGACCATGTAACCACCAGTTTCCGAGTTTCCTTTTTTCTTTCTTTTTCTTTTTTCATGGATGCGGAAGGCGGAGGTGTACCGCCGAACATTAATACAATTACCGGCAGTCTGATTGGTCAAAAAATGGTTTGAGCGGTTCCCCTCTCCCTTTCCCCTTCCCTCTCTCTCGCCCACCTACCTCCCGCCCAGCGCCTGCTCCATTCCACTGGTAGACGACGGTGAAAGAGAGCATAGCCCACGCCTCGCTTTCCGACTTGGCAAGGACCACAGATCTTGACCCTCGCACCAGTGCGAGCGAGCTGTTCAGACTCTCATATTAGAGTCCCCAGCTAAGCCCACAGGGTAGGATAAACACGGTGCAGAAATGCCCTCAAATCCTCACTGTGAACAGCAAGGGGAGAAAAAAGGGCCCTCCACCGTTTGTGTTCTAGCCGACTAGTCCCGAGTTCAAAAATAAAAGGAGAAGAGAGAAAACCCCATGATGCGACCTCCGGAGTCGAGTAAATAACTTGGGTGTGATCACCTCGACGGGGAGAAAGTATCCGCTAAGATACGGCTCTCTGGGTTTCACTCTGCGCGACACGGCAGCGTAACTGGTCCAGAGGTAATTCTCCTATCATAACCTACGGGTGCCCTGCATAAACCTGACCCGGCTGTTGATATCATCTCGTCGCAACCCTCGCTTCCAATGAGAAGCGAGGAGTTCGGAATAACTGCAAGGGCTCTCGTCAACCTCAACGGAGTGATCCAAACCCCCTCGAAGCTCTCACACTGGGATCAATACTGAGGCCGGTATCATACTGTACAAGTACTGGCACCCGCATTCCGAGTCCAGCACGGTAAGATACTTCGCCAAGACCACCCCCTCCCTAATCGATAGCCCAAAAAAAGTCCAAACCCCGATCCGCACCCGGGAATGGAATAACCCACCTTATTCGGACAAAAACATGCATGCAAGAACCCTCCTTCGAAAAGTAAAGTCCTTCAGGCATTTCAGCTCGACTCTTGCCAGTATTTGCTAGAGTTCAAGTGTCCTCTAGCTGAGACTTTGTCCCACGGTTCCGTCAAGATGGAGAGGGACGGTGAGGGTTGCGTGCATAGGCTAGTTGGTTCGGCCATCTGATTGGCACCGGATATATGGTAATAAGCAGGCGCGTGATACACTCGAGTACGAGGATAGACTATGAGTGCAGTTCCAGCACAGCACGGAGAATGGGAGCTGCGGCTGGGCTGGGCTGTCGCTGCGGGTGCTGTGGCGGATGGGGACAGGCAGTAGAGGACGGCGGCTACTTAAAATGTATTGGAAGCATGTGTAGCCATGTGTAGCCATGATAATCAATATCATAACCGCACGGGAGATAAGTTATTGGCAAACTATTCAATGCCCATGCATAGTATTAGTACAGGTACCGGTATTTCTATACAAGTCGTACCAGCAGCCACATGGCACTCAAGCACAATTGAAAGCACCGCGGTCCCCACAGCACATTCTGCAAGTATGGGGCCGGCCACTTGAAATCAACCCTCATGCAATCCACTTTGCTTACATAATACACACAAAAATAGTAGGGCTTAGCAAAATTAACATTTGGGGCCGCCCTTTACCCCAGTTATTTATGGGTGGGGAAATTGCCCAACAAGTTAAGTACTTACCAGTAGCTCGCAACCCACGCAATACCCTTCACAAAGAACCGATAACTGCTCTTTTCTTTGGCCTTTACACTGGCCGCCAATCCAATTGCCGATCCCCCCCTCCGTGTCGGCAGTCAGTGCGCCTGCACCCCATTTTATTCCACTCCAATGAGAATAAATAAATGTAAATTGCCACTCCCCAGATCTACCATCTCCGTGCGCCGACAATTCCATCATGCTGTGCTTATACGCGCAGTATATACCCTTCTCGGAAGCATTGATTGAGAGGGGTGGAGGGAGGGGGAGATACGGTAATGCCCGGTACTTTGTAGATTCGATTTGTGCCACACACCAATCTCGATTGTGCGGATGGGCGGATTGCGGGATTGCGGGATGGGATGTGTGTACGATCTTGGCGACAAAAGAAATGAACACCCTCCCATTTTACACCAAAAATGGTCCATTTTAAGCAATCACAACTCAACCAAAAACAATATAGAACTAACAAAATTAATGGCATGATGTAGGCAATTAACTAGACTTTCTGGATAGATTTTATCAGAATTTTCCCACTTCACCAGAATGGCTGAGAGCTTAGAGTGCAGATTAGATGTGGTTGCAATGTACCTTTTGTATGGGAGGCCCATACAAAATTATAAGTACCTTTTGACCACTATCATTCCCTCTAGTGTTCCTCCATGGGCATTAACTAATAGAGCTTGTCACTTACAAATGATAATACCTAGATAGCTCCAAAGGTTCTGGGAATTTTGGGAATTTTTTTTGCAAGTTATAAAGCTGAGATTTTGTGAAGTGAAAATGCACATTTTTGGTGTAAAAAGGGGGGGTGTTCATTTCTTTTGTTGCCAAGCTCGTACGAGTGCGGCCGGTAGATATATTAGTCACGTGTATTATCTCTGGACACTACAACCAGAAGGCCAACCAAATTTTTATCTTATCAGACCCGCGTGACTAATATATCTATCGGCCGCACTCGTACGAGTAATTTATGGATGGAAAGTTCTGGGCGGATGAAATTGCATTCGGGTATGATTGATTGGTTGGGGTGGGTGTGCGGGTGGAGGTTCAACCGGTTCCTTGGTGGGTAAATTTATGTTCCACACCAAGACCCGTTTGGCACGGGACATCACTCGATTTGCTTACGGTAGTCGTTTAGGGTGTTGCCAGAATTTAAGGTTGGGGTGGGGGAGCATGATTGATAGTGTCGGAGGGAGCCACGAGTATCCGTATGTAAATTCTCGTAGCGTGGTGCTAGTGCCAGTGATGATTTCAAGCTGACCGATATGCAGGGTACTCTAGTCGAGCGCAGGGCTAACTGTGGACTTTTCCCAAAGGGTTTTGCTGTACTGCACAATCCCTCCTCTGAGCTCCGACGTTCTACGAGCATGTGAGATTTCTGATCCCTTCATCGTGTTTGCCGGATCTCCGATGGGTGTCTGGAGTAGGTCATTTGTATCATCGGGGAGAGCGGCTAGTCATACATGGGCAACGGAGCTTAGTAATTACAAATTGTGGATTGCGCTAGGTACATACTAGCCCCGACGATTGAAGCGTAATCCTAATAGGTTGAGTTTAGCAGATAATTTATTTTTTGTCCTAGTCTCCACTCCCGTCCAGTCCCGTTCTACTCGAGTACGCTACCTACTAGACGACTATGGCCCTATACACAACTATGGATACCAGATTCAATGGGATCTATACTCTCCTGTCTACTGCGCAAATGGACGTGTGATACTAGGGAAGGCAATACCGGTGGCCCATACCGGCAGCTTATACGGTACTCAGCGCCCCCCGGTAGTGATATAAATCCAGAGAGAATCTCCTCTATAGTCCCGGTACTGTACAATTTGCCAGATATCCCGGCCTGGCCTGAACTGGGCAATACACCCCGCTCCATCCCAAAACGAAAGGTTACATACTTGAGCATGCAAAAAAACAAATTAATGGAGCTTGGCCTTTCCGATATTAATTTTTTAGCAAGCACTTTTTCGACACAAGTGACGTCAGGAGCCACAACTCTAGGATCCGGTGGTTTGCACAACGTGCGGGATATTCTACAGTACCGTAACCTGCACTTGCACTTGAATTAATTGGGCTCTCTTGAGCTCTTCCCCATTTCAGAAGTCTCCCTTCTCCTGCTATCGGTATTCATGCATATCTTCACATTCATCCATTCGCTTCCCGTGTCCTCACGCATGGCGCTTAGCTAACGTCGCCTTGAATACTTAACGCTTGCGGTACAGTGCTTCTCGAAGGGTCTGCTCGTCTAATCCCGTTTTTGAAACGTGCGGTGAAACTGCACATTGGAAACTCAAATACTCGAACCATGTGCTAAAGTTATGTCGTTGAGGTTGCCACCTCCGGAAACGTCCCGTGTTTTTTCATTTTTTTCCATGCCTTTCGGAGTGGCTGAGCAGCTCGTTTTCCTCTTTTTTTTTGCAATCGTTTTTTCGCCCCTTTCCTAAAGTATAGAATTCTCAACTATTCAACTTACCCGAGTAAACAATTGAAGGATTTAACAAAAAAATAATCCCTTCGTTCGTTCCCGAGTTTCACTACCTTTTAGCGCGTAACTTGTCCTCCGGTCTTCAAAAACTAGGCTCATGAAAGGATGGCTGCGGTTGCTCAATGGTGACCTGGCCAATAGAATTTGTGGCTCCCAAGGAGTCAATTAGTCTTTCCCTCAAGTAGCGAGACTATCTCCCTATTCGTCTTGGGCGTGGGGTCCTGAATACAGACGAAGGGATAATCAAGTACTCGAGTACCGGTACAGCGAATGCTTCGGTAGACTATTTGATTTTTTCCGGTGGGTGCTTGGGGGCCTGTTAAAGCTCGAATGGATAGGTCAAAGAACTCCTGACCTCCCGAGATACCCGTACTTACCACCCCCAGCGGTCACCCTTGAGGCATCTACGCAACGCCGCGGGTAGTGCATTGGGATAGCACGAGGGAAGTTCAAAATGGTTTACTTTTATTGTAATGCTGTTACGCCCACCAGTCGGACTCCCTCCGATAAGCTTAGAGGTTGCATTGCTATGATACGTGTGTCGGTCGCAGGGGAAGGAGGTCTTAGAAAAAGCCCTTGTTTGGCATTTGTTGGTTGGGTCTTCCTCCCTCTTTCTTTCCCTTTATCTCTTTCCGCCAGCACGCCAAGGAGGCCTCGGTGTTTCTATGCGGAAATGGTTACTGGCGTGGAAGCGACGGGTTTGACTTCCGCGGATCGGATGGTGTGTTCGACGGGACTGTGCTTGTGGACTTTGACTTGTTCTGTGTGACCTCCTCGTATGCTGGAGGATAATGTGACGGGCAGTAGACTCGATAGATGACTGTCCACTGTGACCGATAACGTAGGGCAGAAGGTGATGTGTGGCCCCAATCCCTTCTTCTGTAATCGAGTATTTGTCGCCTTTTAGCTCCCGAGAATATTCCGAGATAAGGAATAGTTCAAGTGGTGCTATCGGCTGGATGTTTTCTACTGGTCGGGTCACATCAGGGGCTCCGCGGCCATACGATCTTTGGTAAAGATCTGGAGTTAACCAGGGCCATTAACCGCGCTAAAAAAAAAAAAAAAACTGCAAAATATGCACACGGATTAAGGGATTGGTCTGTTGGGTGGTGGTTGTATCATAACTCATGCCTAACTAGCTTTGTGTTGGGAAAAAAAAGCATGCCTATTACCGTACAAGTATGATAATATTATTATGCAGAAAATAAAGAATGCCAAGACACCCGAGAAGAAGAATGTGGTTATGATAGGAGGCTGGGATTCCCCTTCTCAGCTGCCTGAAGGGAAAAAAACGCAAATTCAGCCGTTGGCTGTGACAAGACAAAAGGAATAAAAGGAGTGTTACTAGGAGAGGCAACTACAGCGTCCTTGAACACGTTTATTTTATTTGAGTATTTGCTCCACAGTCTAGCATGATACGAGTACCGTTATGATAGTGGAAAGTACGTACGAACTCAGCAAAGAACGAAACGCCCCCCCCCCCCCGGGGCCCCTTTAAAAAATGCAGTTCTTGGGT